TCCACGCCCACTCAAGCAAGGCAAATTCCTTGCTTCGCATCAGCTCAGGCCAGGCCAGCCTCGTCAAACAATCTCCAAGTCCGAATTGTCCCTTTCCAAAGAATAATTACTGAGGGGAAGAATCATAAACCTCCAAGGAGCAGAGGAATGGTCAGTCAAACGCCAAACTTCATCTCAGCTTCCACTGACAACAAGCAGCTTCCAGGCATCGCCCACTGAAGAGAGATTTATGGCCAGTTCTTAAAGGAGACCTGCTGGATGGAAGCTACCCTTGTTATTCCATACAGGGTCTCTGTCCTGGGCATGAGTTCACATGGCCCTGGAAATCATGCTTTCCCAGGAATATTATTTATTCAGGGTCCCCCCTCACCTTTATTATTGCAATAATTGCAGAGGGAATGTTTGCCCCCAAATTATTCCATAAAGTACAGCTGTTCCTTAGAATTTGCTGGGTGTCTCCATCGGTTCCTTAGTTTGCTTGAGTGTTGACAGGTGAGCTGGCAGGCTTTCTTCAGAAGAGCCACGTCTTTCTTTTTAAGCAGAGGGTCACGCTTGCCTCTGGGTGGTATATCAGAGAAAATGGGCAAGGCCAGGTCAAAACTTAAAATGAAATGCAAGTAACTAACATATTTTTTTTTCTTTTTGTGCCTTTGAGTCAGTTTTTTGACTCCTGGCGACTGCCTGGACAAGTCCCTGCAGTTTTCTTGGCAAGATTTTGGAAGTGGTTTTCCCTTGCCTGCTTCTGCTTCCAAGGGCTGAAAAAGAGGGACTGGCCGAAGGTCACCCAGCTGGCTTTGTGCCTGAGGCAGGATTAGAACTCGTGGTCTGCTGGTTTCTAGCCTGGTGGCTTAATTGCTACACCAAACTGGCTCAAACATTATACCCATAGATTTAATAACTTCCTCCTGTGCCATATTAAATGTTGCAATTTGTCAGCAACACTTGAAGCTGTTCTGGAGCGTTAGGGGCCTGCATGCAGCTGAGGCACCTCGTGTTAAGCTCCTTCCTTGCTATTCATGCTAGTAGCAGCATGTAGCCAACCTAGTCAGAAGAAAGCTGGGTTAGTACTTGGATGGGAGAGCCCCAGGAAATCCAAGGGCTGTAGGCTACCCAGGAAAGTTGAAAAAACATTTCAGAAGACAGCCATAGCAAACCGCTTCATACTGTTGCGGAGTGACCATGACTTGAAGGCTTCCCTCTATTTAAATTGGTTACTGTCACTCTCACATATTTTTTCATACAAATTTTAGGTGAAATATGAAAACTGCAAAGATCATGAAGTTGTTAGCAACTGAAGCAGTGTGTGTGT